GCGGAAAAAAAATGGAAAAAAAAAAAAAAAAAAAAAAAAAAAAAACACATCATAGTAAAACCAATACCTTCTCAGCTTCGCATCGAAGCTAAAATCCAGCTCAGTGAATGGTGACATATTGGGGACGTGCCATAATTGGGTCCAGTATAGATGATATCTCATTGTGATTAAAATCACATTCATAAAAATTGCATCGATACAAATATATAGATAATGTTTACTTTTAAAAAAATTGGTGGATTATTCCAAAAGTTACATGATCTTTTATTTCCTTATTTATTTATATTCTTATTACAAATTTTATGATATATAAGTGTAATATATAAATTAAATTTTATATATATACATATATATATATGAATAAAAGAGGTATATAAATAGTATTTATCATAAAAAATTGTAATTGATTCAAACATTTTTCAAAAAGTTACAGTATTATCATATTATAAAACGGTAGCATGGTGGGTTGTGGTACAATGTGGATGTGGCATAGTTGGGACAAGTAAAGATGATATCTGTCAGTGATTAAAATCGTTATCATAACATACGATTCGATGCAAATCTGTAAATAGAATTTAATTCTAAGAAATTGGTGGATAATTACAAAATCAGCATCAACTTCTATTTCCTTAATTATATACAGATTAGTAATTCTTAGATTCAAAAATATAATATGTAATTTTTTAATTATATATTATATGATTTTTATAATTAATTGTTTTCTAATTATTATTGATTTTGATTTTTAATATGTTAAAATTAATCATTTTCAGCCTACTTTTTTTTGTGCTTTAAAGTGAAAGTTTATAATAAAAAATAAATAAATAAATATATTACTTTTAGCTCAACTTGCAAATTTGAAATTTACATCATTAAATAGAAAATAATGGTATTGTTAAGATTAATATGGAGTCAGGAAATTTTATAATTTCTATTTATAATTTAATTTCAGGGAAAAGTGGACATGTCACCAACGTCAATGGGTATGCTCTACACAAATGCAGAGGGCCCAATGAGTTGTTCATCATGTCCACCCTGACCGCATTCGAGGATACTGTCAGCTCATGGAACAAGGGAGGGAGAAGAAAAGATATGCTAAAAAAATTTATTTAAATTACGTCTTGATATTACTAAACTAGACAATGATTAATTATTAACAATTGAATTAATTAAGTTCAACACCAAGATAACAAACTGTACCATAAAAGTAATACCTGAGGACAATAAATTTACCATGAGTATAAGGGCACAAATAGACATGTCATTACCGTCAATTAAGAGATATTCACCATGTCATCCAAACAGTACACGCAATCCATAGGCTCAGTATTACACATCCAGCACATCAGCCCTCTTAGAAGTTGCCTCATAATTATAATTATAATTATAATTTCTATTTACAGTAAATTTATCAGAAAAGCTCTATTTTTTTTGCATTTTTATCGTAATAGATCACTTAAATAGAAATTATAGTAATCATTTCTCATTAATTTTTGGTGTTTAAAAAGGTTCTATAATTGAAATATGCAAAACTGAATTAATTTTAATAATTTACTTTAACAAAAAAAAAAAAAATAATAAAAAAAAAATTGTCTAAATGATTCAATTAATTGAGCATATTATAAAATTTACTAATAATTGTAAAAATCCATTGTTAAATTCTGGTGAAACTAAAAAACATTTTTTTTTTAGATTTATAATTTATATAGAAACATGTTACAAAAAAGTTTGGAATGTTATAGACTAGTAGTAGCATACACAAAAACTTTCATAAAATGATAGTGAGATAAAAAATGATAAAGAGTTAAAAAAATGTATTTGTTAAGATTAATATGCAGTCAGTAAATGTTGGCATTTTTTTCACCTTAATTTCTTAAAACTGCTATAACTTATAATGTAATACAAAAAAAAAAGTCATCATCATAACACTTCTTTGTCTTGTATCATCATCATCGCCTAATCAATTTTTTGACGTCTGTGTTACGAATCTGTTATGGAGGAGTAAGTTTTTCAATTTGGCTTACCCATCATAATGGCATCAACATCATCTAAATTTTTGACATTTCAACATTGTATTATTAAAATGTGGTATATTATTATATTTTACCGAGTCAATATAATTTTTTTTTTTATAGATACCTTTAGGTATTCACGTATTATTTTATATATTTTTATGAACATTTGACCCTTTACGAGTCCACAGGAAGGGTTTCAAAATGGTGACTTTTTTATAAAAAATTAACTTTTTCAACTTAACTTTTGAAAATGTTCCGGAAAGACACTTTTATATACACCTTAAATTAAAGCTAATGTAATATACTTTAATTTGAAAAAAAAAATTGACCTCTGGACTTGTCTTCATGATGAAAATGACTACCGTATACAAAAATATGCTATTTTTGTGAAAAAATTCTTGATATTATATTTTACATTTTTTAAAATTATGTTGCTATAACTTTTAAAAATATGCATGAATCAATTCTATTATTTAATAATAAATACTTTATATATACCTCTTTCATTCGACATACTGTTTTTTTAAATCGGGCCATTTCTCTTTATACAGGGGGGGGGGTGCAAACCTTTTAAAATGCGTATAGAAAGTAGAACTTTTTTAACTTAACTTTTGAAAATGTTTTATTGGATAGCTAGTGTCTTAGTTTCAATGAGCATGTTACGGATAATTCTAATGTCTTGTAAGCTAAACTTACAAGAACCCCGAAGAGGGTCCACCTTGAGCCGAGGCAGAGCCGGAGCACCAGGGATTTTGGTACCTTATCCTAGGGGAAAAGGTCATTAATAAAATATGATTTAGAACAGTCATTAAATTTATTACATATTACAAGCAATTTTATTTCTTGTTCTTATAATATAATAAAATATTTGAAAGAGAATTGTACATAAAAACAAATTAATTAATTAAAAACATAGGTCCCAAAAAAAAGGGAAAATATAGGGAACAAAAAAAAAAACATTACAGTAAGATACTGAATAGATTAATAGTAATTTAGTTATGGTCAAGGATATCAGAGGAATTTACAGTCTGTTTATAATTAAAAGTTAAGAAAATGTATAGTGATTGATACCAATTTTACGTAAAAGTTGTCTATAGACAGTCAGGCATTCAAATAGCCTGTGTTCTTTATAAAATATAATAATTCATGACTAATAAAGTCTGAACATAATGATCCATTTCTTTTTCTTTTTATCATGTCAGTGTTCCTGATAAGAACTAGTCACCAGCTATAAAACTATATTAACTGGAATAAATTACTTGCTGGAGTATATTAAATTTCAAATGTCATAATCACAATATAACAGAGCAAAAAAGGAAAAACATGAGCATGACAGATCCAACGCATGCGTCAGGGTATAGTGGACATGTCACTAACGTCAATGAGTATCCTCATTGAATGAGGACTCATTGAGATGTTCACCATGTCCATCCTGACGACACCCGAGGAAACTGTCAGCTCATGAAATAAAGAAAAGAGGGAAAGAAAAAAAATAGACGGATTGAGCATTGCTTATAATATAAAATTATAGTTAATCTATATAGTCAGTAACTAACATTTGTGACCACATATCAGATCACTCATAAAAAAATTACTTAAATAATATGTTAAAACGGATAACAGATAAACAGAGAAAAGAACAGAAGAAATATACCACATTACAATTAGTTGATGTTGTCCAAGTCCAGGTTATTGATTTGAGGTGTTGCCATAACAATGGCCAAGCCAAAATGAAAATTTATTCTTCCATCTTTGGTTTCTTGACAAGATCACAGAAAAAAGACAAAAAAATGGTTGACGCCAACAGGTCAAATGTATTCCACGATGAAGAGGAAAAAAGTGAAAAATATGATGATGAGTGATTCTTTTTGAACATAACCGTGATTTTCCAAACCGGCTCGATAGCACATGGAAAGTGTAGTTGACAGTGTGACCATTCTAATGTGGTATGGACAAGGATCACAGGTGATAGGGAAAATGATTGTCTAATAACTAATCATGTGTGTATATGCAACACTGACCCTACAGATAGACGACGCGCACTGTTTGAATATGGTTACCTGTGACCTTATACTCATGATAACTTTATTACGTTACAGTCTATAAATTGGTAATTTAGGTTATGCAAACACGTAAAATAAAAAGAAAGAAATACAACTTTGTATTGTTTTAATAATAGATGATAGTACCATTCAATATGGGAATATGGAATAATGTAAGTACAGGTAGGACGTCAGGAACACGAGAGAAACTACTGGCGCTCGGTTGTCGATCGCGATTCATTAGATAGAATTTGCACCCTAGCTAGATAGTGAGGGTACTCTTATCAGGCTGAACTCGCAATGTAATAAGGCGGCTGATGAAAGTGACGAGGTGACCATATAATAAACGTATCGCAAAATTTTGGTCTGTGTTAAGCATCGCGCCAGTAGACAGAATCAAGGATGCAACTAGATATTATTTTTAGAATTAGGTATATTAAATTAGAATATATTTGTAAGCCTATGCATATTGGGTAGCTAGTCTCTAGGCTTAATGTATTTGTTTAAACGTTCATCGCAACGGCAGACAGCGCAAAAAAACTTACGAGCATATTTTTAACACGCTTATATTAGTTTCACGTGTATGTTGTTGTTGTTTGTAAGTTTGTAACTCCACGCAGCACGTGTTATTATGTCGCGTATTCCGTCGTGTATGACCTTGAGACTATACTGTCGTAACGCATTCGCCCCACCCCGCTCACCCCTCGTAGACAACAATATTTTCCAACCCGTAGACGCGCGCGTGTCATCAATTATATATAAATGTATAACAAATTTTTATTGTAATTGACACAGCCCCGCGTCTTTTTATGCCGCGGTGCAAAGTTCAGCAAGTGCCGCACGGCCGACGACGTCCCGCCGTTAATGATACCGTAGTCTTCTTCTCGTTGTCAAAGTGACGTCAACAAACCGATCCGCACTCGCGCACTGTTGTCATCTACGCTGCTAACCTTTTGACGCTCGAGGATCATGCCGGACATCGCGTCGTCGACGCCAGCAAAAGTGCCGCGATATTATGCGAAGATCATTATATTCCTACCGCCACCGCTAATATTAATATATATATATATATTAATATTTATACGTATATGTTAATATTCATTTATATATTCCTACAGCCGACGCCTCTGCCGCCGTATATGCCTCGTGTATAATGTTCCCCCCGCCCACAAAACACGGCTATACCTCATGCATGATACGTTTACGTACTTAAGTCCCTTTACATGTATATATATATTCTAATTACTATTAAAACTTATATATTAATACGCTTTATTCTCATTAAGAGATATGTGGTGTATTCATTCCGATTACGAGGGATGATTCCCGTATCATTTTTCGTCACTAGCCGTTTCTCAGACTCTCTCCCCGGAATCGAACCCTGTATTCCCGTTACCCGTTACAACCATGATATTGATAGTAACTATTAGTATTGATAGTATTGANTGACGCCTTGAAAGGATGCGGCGCAATAATCACTAAGACAAAAATTAAACACTAAAAATATAGTTTAAAAAAACTAAAAAACACGCTTTTAAAGCACATTGAACTAAAAAGTTAAAAATAATTTTTAAAATAAGTTTAAAATAATTATGAACAAAAAATACTAATATTATTGTGATAAAAGCGTGGGTGCTTCGTGCCATATTTTTCGTATATTGAGCGCCCGACGCTTTTATCACAATAATTCTAGTACTTTTTGTTCAATATTGTTTTAAGCTTATTTTAAAAATTATTTTGAACTTTTTAGTTCAATGTGCTTTAAAAGCGTGTTTTTTAGTTTTTTTAAACTATATTTTTAGTGTTTAATTTTTGTCTTAGTGATTATTGCGCCGCATCCTTTCAAGGCGTCATATTGCCTTGGCAACATTTTTTCAGAGATATAAATATTTTTGAATCTTGTTTTGACTAAGCCAGAGGAAGATTTAAGAAATATTGGTGCCGATCTCTCAATAAAATATGCTCTCTCTCAAAAAAATATTAAATAATAAAATTTTATTTCCAATAATAATATACAGTATTTAGAATCTTTTACATATAAAAATCAGTCCTAGGTTTTGTGTAATGAAGTCGAACTATTTAAAATTTGAATCGTTTTCGTAAATAATTACATTAACTATACAACGCGTAGTGTGAAACGTATACCAAGTGCATTTAATATACGCTATCAAAATTAGATTACTTAAAATATAAAGTGAGTTCTAATTTAATTTATGTTTTCGAACCTTAAACAATGTATTGCATAATAAATCATTAAGATAAATTAAAAAATTTTAAGAGATATTTAACATCATTTA